GAGACAGGGCCTTTCCAGAATTTTGGACTGATGGCACGGGGGTTAGTGGGGATTGGTGACTTGGGACCAAAGGGGACCTCTCAGTAGTAATAGGATACAGATCCAGGATTCTACCTCTAGATTGGCAGTCACTGGGCCTCATGTCCCTCTGGGCTAGGTTCCAGTCTGACCTGAAAGTTACCACCTAGCTGCCCAACTACCCTGGCAGAGCATTCGTCTCCCTTGGCCCGTTGACCATTCTTGTGTGGTCAGCAGGGCCTGCTCTGCCCCTGAGGCCTGGCCCTGTACAGCTGGGCTGTCAGCTGAGATTCAGTCTCCTGATGTGAGCCCCATGCTGGCTGTGTGCTCTTTGCTGCAAGCCTTTTTGGCCCAGATGCTTATTCTAACCCATTCCGGAATAAATGGAAACTTACTATGTTCATTGTTTGATTCACTCAACATGTGTTTATTAGATGTTGGTTTATGTATCACTCCTGCACTGGGTACTGGAACTTCGGTAGCAGAGTTGGTCCCTGCCCTCGTGGTGCTTCTAGGCACCAAGAGGACCCTGTTCCATATGGGCAGGAAGGGTCAGGGAAGGCTTTTGTGTTTCAAGTGAGACAGGATGCTTGAACTGAGACCAGGGGTGTGTTGGGGAGGGAAAGAGAAAGCTATGCCATGCAGAGGCAACAAAATTTCAGTTGGAGCCGAACTCAGGTGGGTGAAACTTTTTGATTGCAAAAAGATAGAAATGTTGCTAGGTTAGGGAGGGGTACCCAGTGCAAAGCCTTGACAGCCAGCCAGAGGAATTCTAACCTTTATCCTGACAATAATTGAGAGCTATGGAAGGATTCTGAACTGGAAGACCCCAGGTTAAGTCAAGCTTCAGAGCAGTCCTTTTGACTTGGGCAGAGAATAGGTGTGTGGGAGAGGTGAGAATGAGGGCAACAGACCAGGAATGAGGCTCGAGTTCTGGAACATCCAAGCTGTGAGGTTCAGGGGGACTTAGTTGGCAGTCCACTGGACTTGGTAAAGGAAGAGCTCACAGACCCAAGATAGGTTAAAACAATGTCCCAGACCAGCAGAATGGCCTGGCAAGGGGCATGGCCTTGCCTCAGGATATAGGGAAGGGAGCAGCCCAGGCTCCCAGTCCTTCCCCTCACTGTGGGGGGAGGGGGACAAGCAGGAATGGCGAGGGCGTGGCCACGAGGTCATTACCCAAAGTTCCCAAGTCCTGTTCCTGGTCTTCCCATTGTCTCCCAAGAAGCCGACACCTAAACTGAGCCTCTTGGCAGCTGGGCTTGGGGAGGGGGCGGAGAAAAATATCAGTTGTGCCCCCCACCCCAGATGGATAAACCTGGGACCCCTATTTCAACGTTAGAGGTATCTGAAAAGCCCACTTCAGAGTTCAGGGATTCCCCGTTCCGTGTCCAGAAATCCAACTCCTGCACTTATGTGTCCTGGACATCAAAGTACCGGCTTCTTAAGGCCAACCACCTAGTACCCAATTTGAGGGACTCCTCGGGGAAGAAATTGGGGGATCTGAGCGCCCCTATAATCCTGATTATGCATCTGTGATGATGTGTGGGCCTCCTCTTGGGCGCAAAAACCGGCCATAGCCCCACTTCTGCAAACACACCCCTAGACCCGCCTGGTACACACCACCCGCCTCTTCCATGCCCAATCAACAGCCCCAGTCCCAATAGAAGCCTTTCACAGGCCCTGCCCAGTGACGCCCCCTCTGTGTCATCACAAGCAATTTTAATAGGACCTTTCCTAGGCCCCGCCCTGCCGCTTTCCCATAGGGTGCTCACAGTGCGCCGCTTCTGTTTTTTTTTAAACTGTTTTCCTGAAATGTTGCAGATCAGTTATGGACAGAACAGCGACCAAGGAAAACTCCCTCTGTACTCCTTTTGACCGCAGTAGCTATATGGACGCAGCTGCAGCTTCCAAAAGGGCCATGAGCGCAGCTTCTAATAGGGCGCCTTCGCGCGCTCCACCCCGATCTAGGCCGCTTCCCTGGTCTCCAAGCAACGTGCAGGCGCTGTCCAGCGTGCTGAAGTCTCCTTCCCAGCACTTCCTCAAGGGGAGACCTCAGGGCGCCCCTAGCCCTCCCCACTGAATGGCACAGAAACCTCGATGCCACTGAACCTCGGTTACACCCCACTTCCACACCCTACTTTACCTCTTGGTGATAGAAAGAGATCGCCTCGCTCCACATCCCACCCTTCTAGCTCAGATGAAAGCCAAAGTTCTCAACGCAAACTAGAGGACTTGGGGGACCTCTCTTTTGACCTCCAGCTCCTCATCTTCTGCTCCTTCCCTCATTCCCTCCAGCCACACTGACCTACCCTATGCGCCACAAATAATCCAGGCACATTCCCACCTCGGGGACTTTGCTCATTATTTCCACTGCATGAATGCTCTTAGTTCCCATCATGGATCCTTTCTCATGTCTTTCAGGCCTTAACTCAAATATCACCGTTTCAGTGAGTCTGATCCTGACCATTTTATTTTAAGAAAAAAAATTTAATATATTTTATTGATTTTTTACAGAGGAAGGGAGAGGGATAGAGAGTTAGAAACATCAATGAGAGAGAAACATCGATCAGCTGCCTCCTGCACACTCCCTACTGGGGATGTGCCCGCAACCAAGGTACATGCCTTGACCAGAATCGAACCTGGGACGCTTGAGTCCGGAGGCTGACGCTCTATCCACTGAGCCAAACCCGTTAGGGCTTAAGAAATTTTTTAAATTATTTTTTATTGCCCTAGCTGGTTTTCTGAGTGGTTAGAGCATCGGCCTGCAAACTGAAGGGTCCCAGGTTTGATTCTGGTTAAGGGTACTTGCCTGGGTTGTAGGCTTGATCACCAGTAGGGGGCATGCAGGAAGCAGCCAATCAGTGATTCTCATCGTTGATGTTTCTATTTCTCCCTTTCCCTCTCTGAAATCAATAAATATATATATTTTAAAAATTTTTTTTATTGATTTCAGAGAGGGAGGGAGGGAGAGATAGAAACATCAATGATGAGAGTGAATCATTGATTGGCTGCCTCCTGCACACCCCCGACTGGGGATTGAGCCCCAAACTCAGGCATGTGCCCTGACCAGGAATTGGTTCATGGGTCAATGTTCAACCACTGAGCCATGCTGGTCAGGCCAACCCTATTTAAATTCACCTTCCAACTCCTCTCCTTCCCTGCTCTCTATTCTTCAGCACTCCTCACCACATATGACAGGATATGCATTAATAATTTTTTTGCTTGTCCCTCCTGGGCATGGATAATCCTATCTAATAAAGAAGGAATATGCTAATTGACCCTCACACCATTGCAAAGTGGTGGCACC